GCGAGCAGTAGCAACTAGCAACTCCCTGCCCCTCACCCCCAGCCAACTATACCCCTCGGGAAGTATTCATTTAACGAAAGTACATGATCTTGAAAATCAAACAGAACCAGGTTTAAACTCCAACTTAACATTGAGCAACTTAGCCTTTTTGACTCTTGTTTTTCGCTTGTAAAAAGTGAGGACAATACCTCCTATGTTATACAGTTTTTTGATAATTAAGTGAATATTCACAAAGAAGCTATCATAATCTGGCACACAGGAGGCACTCAATAAGCACTGATCCTTCGCATCCTCTAAATATCCCAGACTTTTCCCCTTCAAACTGGGTACTCAGCAGTGTGCCAGGAGGCTCACAAAGCTGCTGGACAAACACAATGGTCCTCCTGTTGCACAATTTTTTTCTGGATGGCACAAAATTATATTAATATAAAACAATTATTCAGGAATTCTAGTCAGCAAATGTTTTTGAGCACCTGCTATACAGCAGCAGTTTGCTGGGTGCAAGGGATAAAACAAATAAGACAGAAAGACAGACGGACAGACAGAAAGAAAGGAAGAGGAAGGAAGGAAGGGAGAAAGAAATTAAGTTTTGACAAGTACTGTGAAGGAAACAAAGAGATTACAGAGATAGATATTAGTTGGGGGAGGAGCCAACCTCTTTAGAGAGAGTGGGCAGAGAAAGGTTTTAAAAGCAGGTGCCATTAAGCTGGATGATGAGGAGACAGCCATGCCAAGAGTTGGGGACAAGTATTAAATGTGGAGGGAATAGCAATGCAAAAGTCAAAACAAATTTCATATTTGTTGGTTTGGCAATTTCCCTGACTTCCTGCTATTTGGGGCTCTTTGATAGATATTTGGGAAGCATTGCCCTGGAGAAGACTTTGAATGCCAGCTGCAAGGGGTAGGAATGGTGAATAAAAACCACTCTCCTTCCCCCATCTGTATTTAAGTGGGCAGCTTGTAAGGGTTATCACTAAATAGTCAGAATAAACTGTTACAACTGAAATATGGAGGAGAGAATGTGGACTACATTTATACAGCTCTTAGGTTTAATGTGGCACTTGCATTTCATGATAGAGATTCATGCAAATTAATATAAAATAAAACCAAGCTTCCTCTTGGCACACTGTGATGTATTCCTTTTGCCTCATGTGGGCATACTGCCACAGAAGGGTAATTGCTTCTCTTTACGTAGCCATAGGAAATCACAATTTTAAAACGTATTAAAATTATTTTAAATTTCACCAGTCACATATTTACTGAAAAGCTCTGGTTTCATCGAAGAAATCTTGAGAGAGAATCTAACTTAGGTAAGTTTCTTAAAGGAGAGATAATTTTATCTTCTTTATCTTCCTCTCACTAATACCTTGCACAGTGCCAGGGACATAGTAGATGTTCAACATTATGAATTAAAATGAAGTTATAATTTCCAGTGGGATTGGTGAGGGGCACTGAGAATTTCTCGATCTTGGACATTTGTCACTACAATGAAATTCCAGTGAAATGGAAGGATGTGTACATTCCACAGCATATGCCTTTGTTGATAATCATTGGATTTGGCTGCACTTTTGACTCCGTGCATACTCTGTATCTCTAACACTTGTGAAATTCTTCCTGTGACAGGGCCTTCATATTCTTGATAATAGGCCTAACAAAACTGTAACATGGTGAAGCCGAGGAGGCAGAAAGTAACTACAGTACTTGCAGGAAGGAGGAGTACTTATGGCCACAAAGCTTCTTTCGACACTGTGTTTAAAGGAGCTGTCCCTGTTGACCTGGTGAAATTACGGTGAATAAAAAAATGTAAGCAATTTCTGCAGATGTGACCTTATTTTCCTTAGGGTTTCAAATCATTTTCTAAATAGAAGAGAATTTTTTTACAATCTGGAAGCAAAATGTACATTGTATGAGGACAGTCTATCGGTGCAAGATTCAGAAACTCTTGATAATGAACAACACTGGAATTTGGCCTTGGTCTTCTATTTACAAATTTGAAGAAATAAAAAATATGTACCATGAGAAACTGAATTTAAGGACAGATTAGTCAACCACAGTTAGATGGGTTAGTTTTTAAAGTATGTATCTATTTATGAACATTTATATTCACTTTTTTCACTTTTCAAAAATGAATTAATTTTTCATTCCATTAGAGAAGCCATACCATAATAAGTATCATTTATTTCTATTTTGACTTTTTATCTAATGAAAATCATAGTATGATAGGCATAAACTCAGACAATTTACTCCACTGTTACGATAGGAAATGTTTCTTCCAACACTAGGCTGAAATCTTTTGGTCTCGGTGGACACTTTAAACCCCTTAAAAAAGAGTATGGTTATTTAGTGACACCCTCTTCTAATCTAGTAGTGAAGGTAGCAGCAACGACTGGTCTGTACACCACCTCTTCCTGCCTTGGCTTTTCTGCTCAAGATCATTATTACTTTGAGATCCCCACTTACCCTCTCCAGTGACTGAGACCAGAGGAAAATGTGGTTCAGTCCAATTTAACATAGGAAAGAACCATTAGGAATCATCTTGCAAGGGCAAGCAGTGAGGCTGGGTCACGGTCCATCCTTCGTCTATGTCATGTTACACCTTACATCTCTATATACTGAGTACACTCTTCTATCTGACCTCCATATCACATCTTCGGTAAAACATACAGACGGAAACTCCAATCAAGAAGCAATGATGAGAAGCCAAAATAGAAATGAGGGGAGCTGACTTCACATACTACAAACATCAGTAATGATTATTCAAAATTTAAATTGTGAAAACAATTTAATTTGAAAGATGAGCTTAAAAAAAAGAAAGAGGGCAGATGCAATAGAAAAACTCAAACTTATGGACCATTTTACATTTGCCTGGAAATTTGAATTAGGCTTCAAAAATTCTTCTCTGATCTACATGTGCAGAAAAATTGTTCTCAGACATCCTTCACCAATATTTCCTACTCCCAGAGTGCTTTCCATAAATATTTATATGAAAATTGATTTGACTCTTTTCTAGTTTCTGCTGGCCTGCTTGCCTATTCTTTTTTTTTTTTTTTCTGTCAAGATGAAACACTAGCTGGCAGAGTGCATGAGCAGCTAAAAATTGAGTCTCTGGTAGACTGAACCTCCACTGCATGATACCTGAATACTTGTAGATAAGCTTCACATCCAATCAGGCACTTTTACACCATATTAGAGCCACCAAAGCTGGACTTCCTCATTAGAGATTTGTTAGAAAAGTACTTGTCAATTCTGGCCAGGAGTTAACCACAGTTGTTTCTTATTTTCTCCCTTGACTGTAGCTTTTATATGATGGAAAATATCCTTTAATTATAACAAGTTGGATATACTTATAATAAAAAGAAAATAAATCTATCACATTCTAGTTATCAAATATCCAGGGGAAATATTTTGTCTAAAACCTTCCCATACTGCTTATTTCTGGAGTGAAGCACATTCTTTGCTGATGTAAATGCAAGAGCAACTCCTTGAGCTCAGGCTGGAATTTTAACAAGAGATTGAAGCACAGAGGGTTCTACTTAAGGCATAATTTACGACTGGGACATAAGATTTTAAAAGAGAGCTTTGTTTATTTCCCACTTAGGTGTCAGGTAGTTAACCGTTATCTGTTGTTAAAATCTCAAATATAAAAGTGGATATGGACAAAATTGTGCATATTTGATGCTACAAGCATTTCATAGAATGGCAGGATCAAATTCTGTTTGGTGATTTTGGTACAGCTGGTGGGCCCAGCACACCCACAAGGACATTTTCATGACACAGTTCCAGCCAGCTGTTTTGCCTGGCGACCCAGTGTAAACATTTCCTTTCAAATCTCACCAGGAGATAGAACAACAGTAGATGACTATATCCCAGAGACCCCCTGCTAATACTAATTTGAACTGAACCTGAGATCTTGAGTTTTTGAATAAGGAACTAAAAAGGTTCTCCAGCAGATTAAATTAAAGAAAAAGAGGTCTTCCAAAATGAAAACAATGATGGTTGCCAATAAAGATAAGGAGAGCACTACAGTATTATTTTTTAGTGGCCCTGTCTGATAAGATTATTTCAAAACAAGCTTTAAAGATATTAACTCAGAAAGGAAGTTTTAATTTTTTCATTGAATTTTCCAGAAACACATTATCTTCAGTGTATGAAGGTTGTACATAACGAATCACACAAAGTTTTTGAAGTGGTTTCCTTCCATGTATAAACATTTAAATGACCACATGAAGTAAGGACAAATGAGAAGATTCAGAATGATGTGTTCACAATAACCGCTCAATAAAGAACTGTTCGAATAAAACAATAGCTGCTAAACAGTTGGTAAGAAGTGGTGGTTCAAGCAGTTGTTAGCTGTTACTTTATGTAGTTATTGAAATAAGAAATTCAACAAATTAAGATATAAAACATTTTGATTTACGCAGAACATTTCCAAATACAGAAACCATATAAATAAAGATTGCTACCTTTTCTCATTGTCGAGAGGACTTACCTTCTAAGCAGTTGTATTGGTGTGGGTACAAGCTTTCATTTAGTTACTACTCTATTGTATATATTTCAAGTATATTTTTCAAACAGCATATATTTCAAGACAAAGTCTGGTTATGCAAAGGAATTTCTTTTTAAAATTTCATTACATTTTTTGAGCTATGCTTCATATATAACAGTATATTAGTCTCAGGTGTGTATAACACAATGATTCAGTATTTGCATAGATTATAAAATGATCACCACAGCAGGTCTAGTTATGCAAAGGAATTTCTGTATGAAAACAACTGTACAAAATGAGAATTAAACCCACAATAAGGCTGCATGAGGACCAGGGAAAAACTAAGCGAACTGATGCAGTCTTTAAGAAGTAGGATATACTCTGATTTAACATCATACTGTGACTAACACTTATTCAGCAAGACTCATGGCATGCTTGAAATCCACAGTAACTAGGCAAGGCTCTTCAAACAAGTTTTATAAATAGTAAAACAGACTTCATCAAAGAGACTTACCTGCTCTCTCCTTGCTTCGTTTGTCAGAGAGCACCTGTATTAAAAAAAATCACAGTTCTCTTAATGTCTCAAAATTACATTGCTTTCACCAAAAATATCAGTGAGTTTGAAAAAAATCAGATTGTAAAACTAGAATTGAATGGCCTCCAGAAAAGAATGTAAAATGCCAACTAAGGTATTAGGATTGAATGATTTTAGTGCACAAAACTCATTTGGAATAATAAAAGCCATTAAAATACTCATTGACAAGGAAGACACATGAATTTTATTTTTCTTTGACTTACGTAAAGATTTACACTATACTATGTGTCCCTTTAGCAACTAGAAGACTGAAGTCCAATTTTTGTCGTTTATTCCACTACTCTCATGTCACCATCAACCTCCCCAAGTGCCGAAACCAGTCCCTACCTCACTTTCTCTCTCAGTAACATCACAGCAGCCAAGGCAGCTGAGCACTCCTCCCAGCTGAAACTTTATCCTCCTAGGCTTCTGTTCTCCCACACGGTCCCTGCCATCTCTTCTATCTCTCTAGCCGTTCCTTCCCATTTTCTCAGTGGATTCCCTTTCGCCTGTGCCCTACTCACATGATTTCATTTACTTTTGTTTTATTTTGTTTTTCAGACATGGTGCAGGACTGGCTCTTTTCACTTTGCACTTCTTCCAGGGTGATCTCATCTACTTTCCATCTGTATTCTGATAACCTCCAGATTTGTATCTCCAGCCTACGTCTCTTTCCTTGAGCTCCAGGCCAATAGAGGGAACTGTTTATTGGACATCTGTGTTTGGACATTTCACAGACACCTCAAACACCATGTGTCTGAGCTCAACATTATCCACCCTCTCACACACACGCACATCCAGCCCTAAATTTATCCTTTTACTGTGTTCCCATCTTGGTGAAAGGCATCACCATTTTTATGGACTGAATGTGTGTTTCCCTCCCCAAATTCATGTGTTGAAGCTTAATCCTCAATGTGATAGTATTTGGAGGTGGGGCCTTTGGGAGGTAATCTGGTTTGGATGAGGTCATGGGGGTGTGTCCTCCATGATGGGATTGGTGCCCTTATAAGAGGATGAACAGCTCAGAGTTCTCTCTCTGCCATGTGAGGACTCAGTGAGAAAGTGGTCATTTGCAAACCAGGAAATGGGTTTCCATCAGGCACCAGATCTGCCAGTGCCTTGATCTCACACTTCTAGCCTCTAGAGCTGTGAGAAATAAGTATTTGTTGTTTAAGCCACCCAGTCTATGGTGTTTTTGTCATAGCAGCTCCACCTGATGAAAACAATTTTCCACTTTGGTTGCTCAAATCAGAAACCCAAGGATCATTCTTGACGCTTTCTTGTCCTTCCAGTTATATTCTGTTGATACTGTCTCCCAAATCTTGCTTGAGTACATCTGCTCTTTTTCATTTCTACGTCTACCTCCTGGGCAACATTCAGGTCATGCTTAGATAACTGCAATAGCTTTCTAACTTCTAGACTGATTCTAGTCCTATTTCCTCCAATCTATTCATACCCAGTGTGATCTTTCTAAAATATAATTTGATCCTGTCGCTCTTTTAGAGGTTAAGATCATACGTTTAGCAATCAGAAAGGCAGGGTCTGACTGCATGACCTTCAGAAAGCTACCAAATCTCCATGAACTTCATTTTCTCATTAGACAAATGGGGTTTCCTTGAGGAGTAGGTACAATTAATTCACATGATGTGCTGAGCAGCAAGTGTGGCAATACAAGAGACATACAGTAAATATCTGTTGATTATTCTGAAGGAAATTCTCAAGAACAGAGGCTTCCATTTTACTAACTTTTTCCAAGCATCAGGGAAATAATACTCTATGAGAGTCAGGGATGAAAGAGAAAAACTGCTGTTGCAATTAAAGCTTTGCCCTTGATTCCACAGTTCTTCCTGCCCCGTTTTTTCATTCTCTCTTTCTCTCACCCTGACTTATGTCTCTGCACATACACTAGGTGAAATTAAATCCACAATTTAATTTGTGACTGACAATGAGAAGAGTCACTTTTTCCAAGGATATTCACATTTGAAAGAGCACCATCTGACAACAAACACCAAGTCTTGAACCTCTAATAGTAAAACTTGAGACACAGAGGAGGAGAAAGTTCTCTCCACATTTCTCAAGTAATACCAAGTAGGTGACTACTTCCTGTTCTAAAGAGAACTGAACCAACTAGAGTAGTGTATCATATTTAAAGGGTTCTGACTTGATTTGGAAGTAAATTTATTTAATGATTTGGAAGAGTAAGTAGCATAAAATTAGAAAGTCCAAGCAAGTCTCCAAAGAAGACATACAAATGGCTAATAAGCACATTAAAATATGCTCAATATCACTAATTATTAAAATGCAAATCAAAACTACAGTGACGTATCACCTCACACCAGTCAGAATGACCATCATTAAAAAGTTGACAAATGATAAATGCTGGAGAAGGTGTGGAAAAAAGGGAAGCCTCCTACACGGCTGACGGCAATGTAGTTTGGTGCAGCCATTATGGAAAACAGTATGGAGGTTCCTCAAAAGACTGAAAATAGGCTTACCATAAGAGCAGCAATCCCACTCCCGGACATATATCCAGAGGGGAACTTAATTCAAAAAGATACATGCACCCCAATGTTTATAGCAGCTTTATATACAATAGCCAAGAAATGGAAACAACCTAAATGTCCACTGACGGATAGCATGAGATTATAGCCAGCTCCAGAAACATACATAAGGAAGGATGCACTGTGGAGAAGAATGAGGGATAATGTCATTCACTGATGTCAAGGCAGTTAGATTAAAACTTCTCCAGACAATGAACAGGTTATATCTCTGGATATTTTACTATTTATTGAATGTTTAGTCAACACACAGAAACACACATTTCTAGCACTATACTGGGTGTTTGACCCTTTCTCTCTGTTGTATATATGTTTGAGGGCACATAATTATTCAAACTAGAGATTCAGGAACTCTAGAACAGTTAGAATTATCTCATGGATAAATCACAGTAAATTCCTTTGAAGTATGTTTAAGAGTCACTTGCCTCATTTGGTGAGATCTCCCAGGGGTGTTAAGTTTTTAATACTTTTAAAGCCATAGTAATTATAAATCCATGTTCACATAGACAGTCTATGAAAACAATATTTTAGGAATTTCTTCTATGAACATGGATTTAATACACAATCGGTTTTGTAACAAATTTACCCTGATATGTACCCCTGGCCACATTGACAAATATGCAGATTAAATGAACAGGACAACACTAGATAACCATAAAAACATCCCGGTAACTTTTTATTGGGAGGCTATAGCCCTTGGGGCTTGTGATGATCAATCAAGTCAATAAATACATTAACTACTATTGTCCATGTGAAACCAAAAAACTGTTCCAACACCTGCTGTTCCTCAAACACAAAGGGCCCATTTGTTCTTAGTGCCCTTGTAGTAAACCTTTAACACCAAAAGCAGCAGATAAAGGCCCTAAGTAAATAAACTCTTGGGAAAATATGTAAGCCATTTTACTATTTGCTCCTTACTTTGAGCAGAATACACCTACTGGTTTCAAACTCAGTAAATTATATTCAGCAGTGACCCTGATTTAAACATTATAGAATAATGTCTAAGCAGCAATGAGCAAATAAGGTTAATCACCAGATTACCATTGGAAAGCTGTTTTCTTTGGACAAACATAAGGGATGTGAGTATTACACACTGATTTTGGCCCAAATAATTTAAGATTGACTGTAACGTAGGTGAATTTATATCTCAAAAAAAACTGTTCCTAATCTCCCTCATGTTAGCTACATAAAAGATCATGCAAAACTATATGTAAAAATGAGAGAGAAAAGCAAATATTTAAAAACATTATGATCTGCAATTCCTGAGTCATTTTCGAGGAGCCCTGCTAAGAGTATCAGTTCATGAAGAAATAAGATGAAAAATTAACATTTCTTAATTGCCATATTAAATTCTCATTACTGACTTTAAATTCAAATTCAAAACATTCCAAGCAGGGCCCTGCAGAGAAGTTTCCAAAACTTTTGATTTCTGCAAAAATCTTATACAGTGGTTCCTACCTAATTGTCAAAGCTATCTCTTCCATGACTCAGGCTGAGAAAAAGGCTGTAGTATCTCTTAGTGGAGATGCAGGGAGAAACAAAAGATAACAGATTTCCTCACAAATTTAACTATCCTATGAAAGCCAACGAAAAAGCTGCTAAAAAGGCTAGAGAGAATGCATAACATAATTTTAAATCTACTCTTTATTTTATTTGATCTTCCCTGATTTCCTTTAGATCTCAGATATAGAAGGTTGTTTTCAGTTGTTTTCAATAAATCTTAAATATAAGAGTCAAATAAAAATCTACTTTTGTGGACTGAAAAATACTTTGATTCAGCCCATGATGTATAAATCTCTATACTTCTAAATTTAAATTTTCATATATGTATGTTAGTATTCATATATTTAAATAGAAGTAGTAAGTAATGCATAATTTCAGACATTTCACCTAAACACAAAAAATAAAAAAAGGTCTTATGAGTCTAAAATGATGTTATTTAATAAGCCATGGCATTTTAATAAGTATTCTTGACATCTGGTGCTAATAAAAATGATTTTATATTTTATAGTTAACATTTAAAGAAAAAACATAACTGTAGTTTTGCTATTTATCACAGACCACAGATGGCATAGGCCACATTTGGGTGGCTTCATTTCCTTCTTGAATAGTTTATATAAAGAGGCCACTTGTTTTCTCTCTTTCTGTGTATGTTTTACATAAGATTTGGACCAAGTCCCAGAAATGAATAAATGAAAGAAGAAAGGAATGCATCAAATGAAAATGAAGTTTCTTAATAACAAAACTGATTATAGAATTTTCCTGGATCAAGTTTAGTTAATAAAATTCATTCTAAAACAATGATCCAAGGAATTTGCATCTGGATAAATATTTGAAATAAGTTTTCCAGAACTGTGAAAAGCCATAAGAACCTAAAAATTTCCATCTTTTGAAAAACTACATTTTCTCTAGGCCAGTTTGACTAATCCTTTGATTCAGGACAGATTTTGCAAGGAGCCTGTATGGGAGCAGCTGCTGAGTATAATGCTGTAGAGACAGCCAGACTGGTCTGGAGGTATCCAGATGCTCTCCTTGTCTCTGGACCATGAAGCTGGAATACAGGTCTTCTTGTCCTGCTTTCTCAGACTTCCTATGTTACTCCCTGTAGATCTTGTGCTGAGTGCCCTGCTCCAACTTGGGTATTAAACTCGGGCTGTCCCCTGACTCTGATTGACCCCAACACACCGGCTCCAGACCCTTTCCTCTAGATGTCACTGCTCATCTGGAGGCATCAATGCAACAGTATTAAACATATATCATATATATTTTCATTACATTTTGTTAGAAGAATTGAAAATCAACGGCTAACCTATACAAGCATTTACCAGATAGTAATAACAGAAATATTACACTGAGACACTCAAAGTGACAAAGGCTCTAAACGCAAAGCCAATGTATTAATCTATGAGAAATAGGAGTGTGAATTAATTAGCTCAAAATCAAACATGTTTTTCTTCTTATTTAGTTCAGAATTCTTTAATAACCATGCAACGTGTTTGGTTTCATGATTTAAATACGAATTTCATAGTCCAGTAACAATATTACAGGCCTAGTAAACAACACCTCCAATATCTTGATCTGGCTATTTAGCTTTGCAAGAGGCCTAATCCACCCTAAAATAACTGGTAAAAGTAAAGGACTCTAGGATTTGATAATCTAGAAAGGTAGATAAGACATATATACATAAGCCAACCAGAAAGCTATTCAATGAAGAATTTATTATGATACAGAATTAACTGATTTAGATAAGTGCAATTAACATTTGAGAATACTTTAAAGATAGTAGTGAAAGAATTTATACTATCTTTGGGTGTGCTATTGAAAATCCAGCTGAATTAGGATGAAATTGAGTTCTCTACTCTGAATGAGATCACAGGCTAGAGCAGAAGACAGTCTCATAATGAAAAAGGTGGCTCTTGGGAACAAGTACACCGATAAAGAGAGGTATATATAAAGGCAGAGAAAGGAGTAGTGGGCCTCATGAAGAGAATCAGAGAAGTGATATTTAAGATTGCTCCTAATGAATAATCTCATTGGGAAAACAAGAGGGAGAGTGGAATTCCAGAGAGAAGAAACAACATGGACAAAGGAAATGGGCAGGGGAAAGTATGAGTCTTTGGGGAAATGCTGTAGATCAGTTATAGAAAAGGGTGTAAAATGATGGGGTTAGAAAGATAACAATGGGCTGGATAATAAAGGATCTTGTATACTATGCTAAGGAGTTGGGAATGACTCCTACGGGTGCTAAGGACTCTAAAATTTAGGCTTTGTAATAGTAATCAGAAGCAACATGAGGCATCGATTGAGCGGGGAGAGTTTGGACACGAATCAGGGGCTTGTTATAGTAGCCCAGGACCTGCAGAAACATAAGTACTTGAATAGATTATATGTGAGGACGTGGTCATTATGAGTCATATTTAGGAGGAGATTGAGAGCAGGAGGAGAAAGAGGGAGGGAAGAGGTGACTTGGACAGTTTTGGCTTAGGCAACCTGGTCTGTGGAGGCGTCACATTGATGAAGATAAGCAACAGGGGAGGTGGCGAGAGGTTTAGAGTAAAGGTAAGAAATCCTACTTTTAGACACACTGTGTTTGAAGAGACTGTGGGACACCCAGTCGGGGCTTTATGAAGAAGCTGGAGTACTGGAAAGTGGTCTGGACTGAATGAGTATGGAGTATTAGTGAGAATTCCAGCCCTGAAAGAGGATGAGCTTGTTAGGGGAAGGTGTGATTAGACCAAGAATAAGAGAGACAAAGACAGAAGCATTGTAATAGGCTGAAGGAAATGGCTGAGGAAAAGTAGCCAGAGAAGAAAGTGAGAGACTACATGACAAAAAAGGGGAAGATTTTCACCAGGAGTAGGTTAATAGAAAAAGACTGAAAATTGACAACTCCCAAGATACCTAAATTTGGTAATTATGAAGTCACCTTGGCCAAAGCCAGAGGATAGACATTTGACAGGGTAAATTAAGGAATACATGGGAAATAAAGTAATCTAATCTCAGAGGCTTGACCTAGAAAGGTTGAAGGATGCAAAAGTGCTAGACCTAGGAGGAAGTTTGATGGAGGGCTTTTGTATATGTGAAGAGATTTCAATACCTTCCGGGTCTGAGGAGAAGGAACTCAGAGAAGATTCCAGAGCTGCAGCTACGAGGGAGCAGGGATCCTGAGGAGGCATGGACCCAGGAGCTCAGAGCCTGATGGGGAAGAAGATAAGGAGGGTGGGTACTGATGGCTTGGCTGAGGTGGACAAAAAGGGTGACAGAGTTAGGGCAGGGAGTGGTGACAGAAAGTAGGGGGCATACACCTGGGGGCCTCCAGGTTTGGGAGCAGGGCATGAAGGCCAGGATGAGGGAGGTCTGGAGCTGAAGAGGGGTAAAGATGTTTACCAGCTGAGAAGCAACACAGTGTTTCCTTCTTGTAGTTCTCAGACTACAGTCTCTTACTCAAATATATTTATACTTTATATAAATATAAAACCATTCAGTGGTTATTTCACAAACTCATCTCTCTCCTCAAGCAAATTGTGAGTACTGGAACATTAAGACCTGCCTCTGTTTCTTTTAAGGCACTGTGGTATATCAGAAAGAGCTGGGGGGCTGGGGTAGGCACATTGAATTTAAGTCTTGAATCCACTTCTGACTAGTTACGTGATTTTAGGCAACTTTTCTCACCTGTCTGAGATTTAAGTTTCCTTACATGTAAAATGGAGATAGTAATATAGGCCTCATAAGAATGCAAAGATTCAATTAAAAAAATTGTGTACCATCTTTCTTCCATAGCATCCATGACCAGATTAGGCTCAATGTACTTAATTTTCGCCTTCTAAGTAAACAAGTAACCTGGAACACCTATACACATCTACATAAAAATATCCTTCTTTCCAACTACTATATTCAGCTGCATCTCTAACTTTAAACATACTGCCCACCATTAAAGAAGGTATGGAAAAGAAGCCATTCTATCACACCCGAATTCCATCTTTCAGTGATCATACCTTCCTCCTCACTGTTAGGTGTGCTTAAGAAATCCAAATCAAGGGTTTGGCTTGGCTCTTACCACATGGCAGGCTTCCTTGGGCAACATACTCCCAGGTTTGACTGCCTCCTAGGCCTATTTGCCTTGGCTTTCAGGTTTGTTTTTATAGACCAGTCCTGCCAGCTTTTAAGATTATACAAGATTATAGTGGCATATTTTATTTAATGCTTCATTTTCTTTGTAAGAGTGGTTTTGGGTTTTAAAAAAACAAAATACCTTGTAAGTCTGATGACTTGTTCAGCTGAATATAGGCCAACAGAGAAGAATTGGGTCACCAAGTTCTGGACACACAACCCGGGAAAATGTCAGGAGTTGGATGGTCTACTCCTCCGTCTGGCCCCAGCTCAAGTAACTTCCTGAATGAATCCTAAGTGCTTTAAGAAATAAAAATCACTCTTAAGAACATGTTTTCTTCTGGGTATGGAAGAAACACTGATGATACTGGCTTTTAGGGAGCATCCTTTTCGTTTTGAATTTGAAAGCCACAGAAGAGTCAATAGTTTAAGGAAATGCCAATAAGAGATGAAGTATAGGAGATAATAATATAGTATCACTGCTTTTATCTGTGTTGTTGGAGGTTTGGGACTTTGCAACTGTCTACAAAATATAATTTAACATTGTCTTCAGACAAAAAAAAAACGCTTGTATAAACAATTTGCTGCGTGCTATAATTTGAAAAAGAAAAGTATTTCCCAAAATGAGGAATTAAAAAAAAGGTGGGGGTGGTAGTATTTTCAGTCCAGCTCTTTGGTCCTCAACAGCAGAAAAAACAATGGCCTGAACTTGTCTTGGTTCTCTGCTCCTGCCAACCTCTGCATAAAGGTGCTGATGAGTAGTGAAAAGGATAAAAGGAATGTAGCAGGAAGAAGAAACTCAAAAAGCAAGGCTGATGAGTTTATGATGTGAAACCCACAAGCTAAACAGACAGTCCCTGAACAACTGAAAGATTATTTTTTTTCCCCTTGTGTTTAGTTAATGTCTTTTCTCCTAACTCAAACGGCTTCCGACTTACGGAGGCTGTAAATGTACTGGTGGGATCTTCTGCTTAGAGAGCTACAGCTCCTCTAGATCCACCGTCTCCTTGGTGTTGAGGACATACTTCCTGCAGGCTGCTCCCACCCAGTGGGTGAGGTTGGTGGGGGTAATGATACACCCTTTCTAGCCAAAGGCAGGACACTCTGTATGGATGACTTTGTTCTAAGACTTCCCACTGGTCTGGCCAGACCTTTCTTGGAACTGCACTGTGGTCTGCACCTCCTCCTTCCCTCTCTCTTCCCACGGGGGTCAGACCTCCAACACAGTAGTTTCTCTGCTCCCTTTCTCAATAAAGCCTTTGCATATCTTATCCTACCACGGCATCTGCCTCTTGGCAGACATGAAATAAAATATTCATCTACTATCTTATTTTTGCTTCATGGTCATAAGCAGGTATTTATTTGCAGAAAAACCGAAACCAAGAAAGATTTAATAAACTTCCAAAAGAGATATAATAACTCAATAACCTATCTCACTCCATCTTAGGGGCTGAGGCTCCTGATTCCCCAGGGTCTTTCTAAATATTTATTGAATGCCTCCTATATGCCTGGCTCTGGACCTTATCTTAAGAATAAAGGGCACCTATTGAGTGACATGCTCAGATTTGTGATATAATAAGATCTTCCTGCTTCAAAGTGGAGAAAGAATTAAAGGGGAACAAGGCTGGATGAGAGGAGGCCAGTTTGGAGGCTGGTGCAGTCACCAAACAAGAGATAATGGTAGCATGTGTGAGAATAGTCCTGGTGTAGAAAAAAGAGGTGGGAAAATATTTAGCAGGGAAAATTGAGAAGATTTTATATATATAAGCATATATTTTACTCTGGACTGAGCCCTGGGCTACACTCTGGGAAGACAGGGAATGACAGACACATTTCAACTGTCCAGAAACATTTGACTGACTTCCATTCACAGATGTGTGTAAAGGAACTTTTTACTTTATGCCAGTCCCTTAAAGTCCAGAGACATAATGGAAAACAGGTGGGGAAAAAAAATAACCCTCCACACCAGTAAAACAAGAAAGTGGCCATGTGCCGAAACCACAGACTATGACATGCAGAAGTCAGTTACAGTGGGAAGCTCTGCCAGAACCAGGCACGAAGAGCAGCGTCAAAGCTCAGACTCTGAGCAGGATGCAGACTTCTCCAAAACTGTATCACAATAGTGGACGGTCTGGCCTGTGATCCTCTGATTAGAACAATCAGTACGAGGAGAGTTTGGGGAAAGTGGGTGGGGGCTTGCGTGAGGTGTCGAACTGACATATCCGAGTCTGGATTTTGGGCCCCATTCTTTCGCCTGGAAGGGCCCCTCTGAGCAGTGAACTGCCTGCCCATATTTATTATTTGTTTTAATCTTGCAATTTTTCCCCATTTTTACAGGTTTATTGATGTATAAGTGACATAGAATAAACCGCAAGGATTTAAAGCATACAATTTGGTAAATTTGGACATGTGAATATACTCATGAAACCATCATCACAATCAAGATACTAAACGCATCTGCCCTCCAGAAGTTTCCTCGTGCCCCTTTGTAATCATCATTCCCACCCTTTCTTGCCTCCCACCTCCAGTCACAGACAACCAATGATCTGCCTAATCCCACTATGGATTAGTCTGAATTCTTAAGTTTCATATAAATGGAATCTTGCATAATTATTTTTTCTGGCTTGTTTCACTTAATGTAATACATTTGAGATTCATCCACATTGTTTCATACATCAATAGTTTGTTCCTTTTTATTGCTGAGTAGTATTCCATTGAAAAGAGATACTATAATTTGTTATTCATTCTTCTATTGATGGACATTTAGATTGTTTGCAGTTTGGGGCTACATAAATAAAGCTGTTATGAACATTTGTGTACAATTCTTTGTATGGATATTTTCTTTCAGTGGAATGATGAAATTATAATGATAGGTGATGTTTAACTTTTTAAGAACTGCCAAGCTGTTCTCCAAAGTGTTGTGTCATTTTACATTCCCACCTGCATTGTATAAAAGTTCCAGTTAATCCACTTCCTTGCTAACACGTGGGATGGCCAGTCTTGTTTAATTTTAGCCAATTATAATAGGTGTGTAATGGTATTTAATTTTTTGTGGTTTTAATTTTCATTTCCCCTCAAAAAGAACAATGCTATGTTGCTTTTTCATGTGCTTATTTGCCATCTGCATACTTACTTTGATGAAATGTCTTTCAAATCATTTACCCATTTTTTAAATGGTTGATCATTTTCTCATTATTGCATTTTTCAGAGCTCTTCATGTATTCTGGCTATAAGTCCTTTATCAGGTAAGTGATTCTGAAGATTTTCTTTCAGTCCATGGCTTATCTTTTCATTCTCTTAGTAGTGTCTTTTGAAGAGACATTCTTAATATTGAAAATGTCCAGTTTTGTAATAAATTATTTTTGGTGTCAATCTAAGAGGCATTTGCCTTACCCAAGGTCATAAAGATTTTTTCTCTGTGTTTTATGCTAAAAGTTTTATAGTTTTGAATTTACATTTGTCTATGATCCCTTTTGAGATAATTTTTGTAAGTGGTGAGAAGTCTGGACCAAGGTTCATTTTTATTTTGCGTATGAGTGTCCAATCATCTCAGCACCATTTGCTGAAGAGACTGTCTTTTCTCCATCGAATTGCCTTTGCCCCTTTGTCTGTCTTCTTTTGCATTACTTAATATTTTTATGATGTCATTTTATCTCCTTAGTTGGTTTATAAGCTGTACCTCTGACTTTTGTTGTCATTGTTGACTAGATTCTTAGTTCTTGCTTTGGGTTTTACAATTTATAGCTCTGACTGTCGGTCTGCCTTCCAGCAGTGTCACACCACGTCATGTATATAAAACCTACAACACACACGCCGATTTTCCTCCTCCTTTTGGTTACATACATTTTACTTCCACATCTGCATTTGGGTCGCTTCCAAGTTTTAGCAATTTTGAATAAAGCTGTTTTAAATATTCAGGTGCAAGTTTTGGTGGGACATACATTTTTTATCCCTTTGGGTAAATATCAAGGAGCCCAATTGCTGGGTCATATAAGAGTATGTTTAGTTTTGCAAAAAAAAAAAACTGTCAAGCTGCCTTTCAAGTGGCTGTACCATTTTCCATTCTCACGAACAATGAATAAAGGCTCCACTTCTCCACCAGCATTTTCTGTTGTCAGTGTTTTGCATTGTGGCCATGCTAATAGGCATGTAGTGGTACATGATTGTTTTAATTTGGATTTCCCTGATGACATATGATGTAGAGCATTTTCATATGCCTTTTTGACATCTGTATATCTTCTTTGGGGAGATGTGCTTTATCTCCCTCCCCCTGAACTCTTCCTTGTGTGTTTCATTTTGGATCGTTTTTATGTCTTCAGCTTCACTCACTGATCTTTTCCTCTGTAGTGTCTCAACTGCTATTAGTTCCATGCAGTGCATTTATTTTTACCTCAGACATTCATTTCTAGAAGTTCATTTCGGATTTTTTTTTTAGAATCTTTTATGTCTCTACTTAACATGCTCAATCTTTCTTCTAGCTTCTTAACACACGCAATGTGGTTGTAATAGAAGTTTTAATGTCCTTGTCTCAGAATTCTATCATCTGTGACATTTCTGGGTCTGTTTCTGTTTATTAATGTTTCTCCTCATTATGAGTCATATTTTCCTGCCTCTTTGCATCCTTGGTAATTTTTAATTGGATACCAGTCTTTGTAAATTTTTCCCTGTTGAGTGCTGAATATTTTTGTATTCCTATAACTATTCTTTAACTTTGTTCTGGAATGCAGCTAGATTAGCTCATTTTAAAGCTTTGTTATGTAGCATCAGAGCAGCCTTTTATCCTAGGGTTAATTTTTCCCCACCTTAAGCAATTCCCTTTGAGTGCCCTATTCAATGTCCTGTGAATTACAAGGTTTTTGTCTATGGATGACGAGAGCACAAACTATTCTCAGCCCCAGGCAAACTCTGGGAGTGCTACTTCTAATCATTTCTGATGGTTCTTTCCCTGTTTGGGTAGTTTCTTCACTTGCATGTGCTGACTGGTACTCAGCTGCAGATTTGGGAAAACTCTCTACAGCTCTCTGGAGCTTTCTTTCTGTGTAGTTCTCTGTGGTCTGCCTTGAATTCTAGCTGATCCATCCTCCCTGCAGTCCCAACATTGTCTGAGTCAGGGAGACAGTCAAGCTCCTCTTGGATCACAGCCCCCTTCCTGCATCACAGCCTAGAAATTTTCCTCAGGCAATAAGCTGCGGTAATGATAAAGGTCACCTTGTTTGTTTCTCCTTTTCCAGGGTTCACTGTCCTGTGCTGCCTGATGTCCAACGTCTGAAGATCTTTGTTTTATATGTTTCATCTGTTTC